GGTTTTTGTAGCACGACAGACACTTAGCTCCTGGGTCCTGCGAGACTGGGGCTCCTTTAGTGTAGAGTTTGCATTTCCTTTTCACCTGCACATTGGTTTTCTTCGAGTGCTCCAGTTTCCTCCTCACTTCCAAAGACATGCTGGTTGTTTTAATTAAGTGTCTGTACCTATGTAATTGTGTCTTTCCTTTTCAACATAATGGGAGTCTATCAAGAGTATAATTCTTTCAGGTCCCTAATCTTCTGGGATAGCTTCGGGTTTGTCACAGCCCTTACTGGAAAATATCAGTTTCTGAAGATGGAGTGCTGCATAGTTGGTATTTTTTAATAGTTGATAGAACAATAATTGTGTTCTGGCAAAAAGACTGAAACGACATCTTTAGATAGCACCATGTTGAAGTAGATTTACTTAGACGTTGTTTAGACACTGAGCCAAGAACTACTTCAGATGTGTCTCTCAGCCTAATTGACAGTGTCATCCAATACATAACCACTATAAAGCCTTTATTTAATTTCATATACTTGTGCATGAGATAATGGATACCTACCGTGTGAGCTATCAGAGCCCTCTAAATCCACTGTATCTGTAAATAAAATTCCACACTAAATTCACTTCATTTTTATCTCTAACATCATTTTTGTTTATACCACACTGTAAATTCACAAACACAACAGATATAAAAAGGCAACTGACTTCATTGCCATTTTTACTGAAAATCATCCAGAGCAATGAAAGTTACATACTGTACTACATGCTTGGTCAACAATATCAGCTGCAACTTACAACCACAGCAGGTTCAACCAATTTAATTAACTTTGCCATTGCTGGACTATTGCCTGGTGAAAACAAACCAGTCCTGAGGTGCTATAATTGGCATACAGTATTTTATATGAAGAATAGTGGCAGCCAATGCTGCCAAACAGATTAAAACTTGGATGGCATTTTTTCCCGGCACCCATCATTTTCACAATTTAAAATCTTGTTCCTACCTGATAATACCTCCATCTCCATTTAATATGACAATGCTATTGTTAATTCTTAATTCTAAAGCTTGCCACAATTTGCAACTCTCATGTCTAGCTAAAACCCATAAGATAGGCAGTAGTTTAAAATCTTAGAATAATTGTGAGGGAATGTATTGCATTTCCCAGAAGGCTGTTGGGAATGACCTGCCAGCTTCACCCACTTGACTAAATGCTGGAAGACAATTGGTTAGCAGATGATTCAAAGACCAGGAAGTGAAGATTTCTGGGGTCATACATGTGCAGCCTGGTGACAGAGGGCAGGACACGGAAATAGTACTCAAGAAGGCCCACTATTGCCCTGTATAAAAGTACAAAGGGCAAAATAGGCATTTTGAAAGGAATAAGTACAGTATAAGGCAAAATAGGTATTTTCTAGTCAAGAGAATTAATGCAAGTAAGAGTTAATTAAACATGGCATATTTTTAGATTTCAAAATTGGCCTTAGATGTGAATAAACCTTTGAAGTTTAGGTTGCCTGATCATTTGCAATTCCAGGGCAAGGGTTTAGTATAATTCCATTCTCTCTTTTTGACCAAAGTTTTCTGTCTCCAGAAAAGAAAAAAAAACGCTCTACTAAAAGCGTTAGTTGTTTAATAGGCAAAGCTAACATGCATTATATTTCAGCAAAAACATAAAAATGGCTTTAATTGGCTCTGTTAGAAAAATGTCTGTAACATTTCAGTCACGCTTAAAATCAGCTGTGTAAAGGCTGGTATATTAGTTTATTGTGTCTTCTCAATTTCAGTTAAATGAAGAGATCAATATCGAATGGAGCACAAAAGCAAACTAGTGTATTGTAAGTGATGCATGAAAGATATAACTCAATTAAAATTAATACAGTGATTGCAGATTACAATATAAGCCAGGCTGTTAGATTTGTATAAAATATGTGACATGAAGGAGCTGGGATGCAATAATGGGATCATTATATAGGATTGTCTTAGGTAAAAACAGACACACATTCATAAATGTGAGAGAAAATTTGTGCTCTTCTTATTTACAGTGAAGGTATATACTCTAAAGGAAAAGCCTAAACTCTAAACTACTTTGAGCTCCAGTTAACTCTGCCAGTCCCTCTCTTAATAGCGCCTATTCCTAAATGAAGTAGTCTCTGAGCCTCTGAGACTCCTCTTCAGAACTCACTTCGAAAGAAAATACAGTATCTGTCCCTGAGATTCTGGAAAACAAGTTATTACTCAAGCAATTTGGTGGGCTTAATGGATCGCAAACGTCAAAGAGCTTTTCCCCAAAAAAGACACACTGTCATTTTACACTTTGAAATGTACTAAAAATGACAATTGAACCCCTCCCAATACTTATTGTCATTTAAAATCACTAAGTTAAAGACAATAGAAGTGAACAAATTTATCCATCCCGTTATTTTCAAAACACTTTATCCATTAGGGTAGAGAGAGAGGGCATTATTATTTTTACTTCTGGAATTCAATTTATGGGAAATAATTTGAATTATTTGCATTTTGGTTGCAGACCATTTCAGGTTATACACGGTAATAAAAAGTACTATTATAAACAAGCAAAATGATTTAGTGTCGATTTAATAGAAAGCTGAAGCATTTTTCTTTAAAACATCTACAGCCATTTTCAGCAATCTTCAGTGTGCCACAATTTGAGAGTCAGGTGACATCATGGTCTCATTTGCTTTTGCTGTTGGTTGCCTTGGTTCCCAAAGAAGTTCATCTCGTGCATACCAAAATGTTGAGCTACAAGAGTCCGTTCCTTTTCTTGTGTTCACACTATTTTTTCATTTTCATTCTGGTTTAAAATGTGTTTTTGTTCATGATTTTAACAGAGATTGAGAAATGCATGATCAAGCCTTGGTTTAGGTTTCCTTCGCATGACATATACAAATATCATTTGTAATGGCATCAACAACAGATGTTAGAATTGTTAGTTTTTCAACTGTGGCTCTCAAACTAGTAAATTGTTCGGTAATTACAGCCTCAGCAATATTGGCTTTCCTGTGTGTATGCAACATTATAAACGCTATATATCCATACAGATAGTTTTAGGTAGTTGGTATTATACAGTAGGTAGTTAGGCCTTGGTAGGTCCCTAAAAATGAAATATAGTTAAGGAACTTTGTTTTACAACTTTTAATATCCACTGTAAAAGAACATATAACCAGTATTGATCTGAATTTATCATGTTTTTGACATGAATGTGTAAATTCACCTCATTCTCTATTAGAATGTTCATGACTAGCTAGCCTTTCAGAATATGCAAACTTTTAATTAAAGAAAAATACAATAACAATTCTTAAATCTCTTCACTAAACACAATAGATGTCAATTTTTAAGATAATTCTTTAGTTTTCTTCTTTGAGTGTCTCCCTGAAAAAAATTAAGAATAATTTAAATGGATGACAGAAAGAAGAATTATACCTCTCAAATTTAGATCAGGCTGTATCCCTTTTCTTAACTCATTTCTAAATGCATTTGTAATATAGGCAGAATAAAGGAAATGTACAAGCCCTCGGAAGTGCTTGTGAAAATGTTAAAAAACAAATCACACTACATACTAGAACCATTTGAGAATTTGTGTCTTTCCCCTGGAGCGTGACATTTTCAATGTCATCGCTTTTAGTGGTGAATAATATTGACGATGTATTTTTTTTAACTTGTCAGCTGTAAAATGTACAGCATTGCTTCATTTTAAGACACTATTTATAGCTCTCAACCATGTAAATTAGCACTTCCTATCCAATCATTGTGTGCCTTGTCAATGTAAAAAGAAAGCTGTAAAGGTTCTCTAAAAACTAATGAGTGGTTTTATGACTGGCTCTATCTGCATGACTAACCCCTGCCCCCCTCGTTGTCTGTCAGTATTAAGACACAGACGACCAACAATATACATCAGGCCTCACGGGGCTAATATTTCAAGAGAGTACTTGATCACTTTAACAGCCCTGGTGCATCTCATTTCATAGTCATTACAGTAGCTTTGCCTCTGTGCTTTATGTGAAGTAATTAGATCAATGGTACATGCTTGCTAAACAGGAGTATTGTATGCATTAATAAGGTTTGTGGTAGCTTCAGACACAAATGCTGCCCACATTATACAACTTGTTAAGGATGCCCTGATAAGGAGATTTGAATATACTGTACATTCTTCCCAGGTGGCTGCAGGGCAGAAAAAGACTTGCTAAACAGAGCATTAGGATTAAAGTGTAACTCTATTAAACAAACAGAGAAACAGATGAATTTGTCTACATAATCAAATTCAAAGAAATCATTTTTAATTTGGGAGACATTAATGAATCAATTTAGTTTAAAGGAAAAAACTAAAGATCAAAGTTACATGTGCATGAAATTAGCTTTGACTATAAATGAAGATGATTGTTTTAGAATTGTATTAAAATTCATATCCACTTATGCATTTTGCTCAGCACAAGCTCCAACTGGTGTGCATTTTGAATATAGTTAGTGTAAAATGTTTATCCCAGCTATCCAAGTTCTAAACGTAACAGAAATTGGAATATTTGATTAAATCCAAATTAATGTCTTGAAGGAAATTAAGAGAAGCTTCATTGTAGTTAGCTGATATATGGGAAAGTAAAATTATTTTTAATTACTATAACTGAGCTTAACCTAACAAAAGAGTTTCTGAACTCCAGATTCTATTGGAGTTATATATTGACCCATAATCTATTGCACTCATTCCATTACATGACACTGAAATGTTAAATTGATCAATAAAGTGTCACACTCGTAAGCCCCTCCTCTTAAGGACGCTCCAGCCCTTCCTAGTTTTGTACTTGTCTCCTGCACCTGCCTCTGGTTCCTGCCCCCTGTCCTATAAAAGCCAGACGTTCCTGCCAATCTGGGCTCAGCTTTGGAAGATGGATGCCTGGAAGCCCACCTGCCAGTGAGTCCAGGAGCGACTCGACGGCATCGGCTTCACAACGGTGTCCTGACCATCTCAGTCCGGGACTGGGAGCATCTGGTCCTCTTACCCCTCTTTTATTCCCCCGACCCTTCGCCGGATCCTGCTCCGGCTTTTAACTCTGTTTGTCTGTGTCCGGATGGATCTCCCGGTTTTGGACATTGGAACACTCTTGGATTTGCTACGGACACACCCCCCTGAACACCAGCGCACCTTGGACATGCCCCCTGTTTTCCTTCCAGCCCCTTTGCATGCTTTTTTCCCCATGTTTTCCTCACTCCTCCCCGGATTGTGTTGTCTGCATAGGGTCCTGAAAGAGTGCTTCGTGACATAAAGGCTGTTGGGGGTTGTTAAGAAGAAGAAATGATGCTGCATTTAGATCAGGCGATAAGGACGCCCTTAGGACTGCGAGGTCCAACCTTTCCGGTGCCATCAGGGAGGCAAAGCAGGACATCAGAGACACATGGCACATGTGGCAGGGCATCCAGGCCATTACTGATTACAGGACTTCCCCATGTGCCAGTGACAGTGATGCCTCCCTTCCAGATGTGCTGAACAACTTCTCTGCACGGTTTGAAGCAATGAACGCTGTGTCTGTGAAGAAAACCACACCTCCTCCCGACGATCAGGTGCATTGCCTGCCCGCAGCTGATGTAAGGAGGACACTAGCCAAAGTTAATCCACGTAAGGCTGCTGGTCCCGATAATATACCTGGTCGCGTGCTCAATGAATGTGCAGAACAGCTAGCTGACGTCCTCAGATATGTTTAATATCTCCTTGTGCCAGGTGGTCTTCCCTGTGTGCTTCAAATCTACCACTATAATACCGGTGCCGAAGAAGTCAGCCGTGTCCTGCCCCTCTGGAACCCTTTCAGTTTGCATACTGCCCCAACCGGTCTACTGATGGTGCTGTATCTCTTGCCCTTCACCTGGCCCTGTCCCACCTGCATAAGAAAGGTCTGATGTAAGAATGCTTTTCATTTACTTCAGTTCAGCATTTGATACAATCATCCCCCAGAAGCTGACAGAAAAATTGAGCTTGCTGAACCTCAACACCTTCCTCTGTAACTGGATTCTGGACTTTCTGACCGAGAGACCTCAGACAGTCCAGATTGGTAATAACATCTCTAGCACCATCACTATGATGAAACACCTTACAGAGAGGAGGTGGAGCAACTAGTGGACTGGTGCACAAACAACAACCTATCTCTTAATTTAAATAAAACAAAAGAGATAATAATTGACTTCAGGAGGGCCCACACTGATCACTCCCCACTGCACATCAACGACTCCCCTATGGAGACAGTTAGAAGCACCAAGTTTCTTGATGTACACATTACAGATGACTTCACTTGATCTCTCAATACCACCTCCCTAGCCAAGAAAGCACAGCAGAGTCTCTATTTCCTGTGGCAACTTAGGAAGGCAAACTTTCCCCTGCCCATTCTTACCACATTCTACAGAAGCACCATTGAGAGCACCTTGACCAGCTGTATCACTCTTTGGTTTGGGAACTGCAACGCTTCAGACCACAAGACCCTGCAACAAATTGTGGAAACAGCTGAAAACAACATTGGAGCCTCCCTCCCTTCCATTTCTGTCACCTATCACAAATGCTGCTTACACAGGGTCTGCAGTAGACCTGTAGTAGATAACCCCCCCCACCCCTCCCATAAACTCTTTGCCCTCCTACCATCTGGAAAAAGATATCACAGTATACGGGCTAGCTCCACCAGACTCTGGAACAGCTTCTTCCCACAGGCTGTCAGGCTTCTCAACACCCTGGAATCTACTTGCACCCACTCCAATTCCAGAAACAGGGTTTAAATTCTCCAGTGTTTTGTATATATTGTATTATTTATTTGCCTTAGTACTGTCCACTATTTGCACTTTGCACTACAGTATGTGTATCTTGTCTACAATGTCTATGTCAGTGTCCTCTCTGTATTTGCACCGTGGACCAGGAGGAACGATATTTCGTCCCACTGTATACTTGTATATGGCTGGAATGACAAATAAACGTGAACTTAATACTGGCTACTCATAACTGGCTCTACCTGACTCTCTTCAATGCATGGGGTTTTTGTCATGAAGTCATGCAGCCATTTTTATAAGATAAATTATTCCCCTCAAATGGTCATGTTTAATCTGGGAGCCATTTTTAGGGAGACAAAATGATAAATCATATTTGTACCATGTTTTGAAACTGCATTTAAACTTCTTGTGATTATGAGAAGAGAGTGAAGAGAAAGCTCACTTCTAAATAAAAATGGAGCACTTACCAAATAGTGCTTGAAAGAACCGGGAATACCCTTTTCTTATAAAAGTTGGATGTTGCCAAAACTCATTCTAAAAATAACAAAGGTGCTATTTTCTGCTTTTTTAAAATAAAAATACATTCAATCAACATATTGAATCTACAAGCCTTTCATTATGTCACATTGAAATGTAAATTTCTTAATTTTCCTCATTTGGTGCCGGAAACCTTCTGTAGCAGGATGTAATCAAGCCAAATATTAACATAAATCACTTTCTGTGGAGGGGTAATTAACCCTATTGTACTGCTAGAGCCTGTGGGCTACGATTCCATCTCCTGTATGGTCTTCAATTTTCTTTATTAAATTTTAATTAAGTAATATTCATATGGGGTTTTAAATATTCATTGTACCATATAACAAGGGTGGTGGTGGGGGGGATTATGAATTAAACAATAATAAGCTACAGGGGCTCAACACTTGTAAATACAACGGTTATTATTATTAGCCAGGAGGAGAACGTTGTTCTTCACTAAATATTTATTGTAGGTATTTTTCGCAAAAGATAATCACACTACCGGTTAGGCAGATGTTGTTGGTAGTTTCAACCAGAAATAAATGTCTACTTTTATTTCGAAGGTAGGGAGAATCTCTTTCACCCACACAAAATCACACAGTGTTACCTCGTTTCAAATGCTGATCAAAACCTCTGATTTCTGTGAAATAACATAATCCAAATCCAGATCTATCTAGCTTGTCGTGTATTTCCAATCTTATTCCATGCTGAAGAGAGAAGAGAGAAAGCACAACATTTCGGCTGAAATTGAAGCTGAAACAACCTGTTTTCTCTCTTCTCTTTTCAGCATGGAATAAACTTATCACTTGTCCTTTTGCAGACTATGCATGCTGACGCAGCTACCCACCTGATGTATTTCTAGGCTGCCATATTTACTGTTTCCATGACTATTGACTAAAGTTATTCTTTTCAATTATTAGTCACGTATATGCAGTATATATAATGAAGAGTACAAGTAAAACAATGGATAGCTTGTCTCAAGTGTGCTGCTAAATACCCATCTTCTTCATATAACATGGAACATTACAATATTACCATACCATAATAAAGATGGAATTTGTGGTATTACTGTACATTATACAGTGGAAAAAGAAACATAAAAATGTTACAATCTTTTGCTGCACTATAGAGTCTTCAGGAGCTGTTTCTTGATTGTGAAGTATAGCAAATCAGAGACTTCATGTAGAACAATGAACAAAAAAACAGAATGACAGGCACAATTATTTTGCCTCGTGTGTGTGTGTGTTTTCTGAAAGGCAAAAGTAAGGTCCTTCTAATCCCTTTTTCCTTGTGGTGAGCCTTGGGCTGGAAAGAAATCAGAGACTGACAATTTTAAGTCTGCACCTGGTTGAGCAGCTTTCTCTGTGTGATCATGCAATGAAAGAACAATCTTTACATATGGAATCCTGGATCAATAGGTCCACCTGAGATTTAAAAAACTGCAAAGCTTCAATTTCTGCTCTGCAGCCAAGTTTAAATTCATACCCTTTATTCTTGATTTTTCATTTGTCCTGTAAAATGTTCTCTTAAAATGCTTATCCTTGCAAATTTGTTCGACAATAAACACAGCGATAGGGGAAATTAATCTTAAACACTTAAAACAATTAAACCTGTATCTTATTTTATATCTTGTTATTTAATCCATTTACTGTCATCTGCTCTGTCATTATTTAATGATCCTCATTTGCTCCAAAGCATGAGTGTTTAGTAGCCTCTTCTTTTTTAAGCTTTAGTTCTCTTAAAAAATAAATTCACTGAAAAAAAAACTTTGTTTTCAATACAACAGTGCTTCCTGACCCACAACCTCTGCTCTTTGTTTAAGATTATGAAATCCTCTTTAAAAGTATATCTTAAGTACTGTATACATCTTACAGCACAACAGGTTATTACATTCATTTTAACGTTTAAAATTTTGTATATCTAAAACAGCACTCTTTTCTTTATTTTTTTAACCACATACTGGTGCATGCAGATAATAGAAATTACAAACATTGAAGAACTGTTGTTTTGCAAATGCCATTTTAATTGTCAAAACAAACCTTCAAATACTCGCCAAATTAAGGCTCTAACATTATGCTGCAACTAAGACATACAAAGCCTTATCTGTACAATGCAGACGGGGTACTTTCAAATGTGCCATTCTAAAAGAGACATCACACAAGTAATTTACATTTGAAACAGGTACAATGCTGTTAATTAGATGCATGCCACATGAGTTCAGCAGTTAGTGTACTGTTAATTGGATCCGTAGCATCTACTACAGGTTTTCAGTCACAAAATCACAGACTGTGTTTAGCTACAGTTTATAATATGATAATCTTGTGAATATTATAATCAGTAGTACTTTGTTTCTGGCCTTAATTTTCACATGCAGCACTTTTAGGAGAGTACAGATTTATCATCAACGGCACCTCGTATATAACAAAACTACGATACAAAAAACTGAGCAAAACATAAATGGTTATGTTTATGGTAGGTTTATTTTTAACAAACATTACAATGAAGAAGTTTTCATGTGCCATGTATCATACAGAACCTTAATGACTGTTGATTGTACCAAGTATAAATATTAACACAGGAAAAAAACATAAATAAATTCTATGTTGGATTGCAAGGATGTGAAAGATTTGGTTTAATATTAATATGGCATTATAGATACAACAGATGGGTTTTGGAACAAACAGCATTTGTTGCCGTTTATTATTGTGTCTCTGTGTTTTTCGAAGCAACAGTTTGAGTTCCATGAACCGCTTTGTAAACTTTAAAACAAAAAAAAATCGAATGTACATAAGACTGACTTTGTTCTCCATAATTATATTATAAAATAATTGTTAAGTGGATGCTGCTGCAGATACTCAAAACTGTCTTAACAAGATGTTTCAAATGTACAGTACGTGCCAATATCCCAAGCTAATATTTTACATTTAAAAAACGAAAGATAAAAAAAAAAGGTTTTCATTGACAGTGACAGTTGACAGCCGCTTCTCCAGCTTGCATGAAGTCCTTCTTAGCAACCCTCCTCCTGCACCATAAGATTGGAATGATTTTCTTTCTAATTCAATTGAAGACTCAAGTGAATAAAAATAAAACGACCCTGAGGCTCCTGGGAACCAGAATTGCCAACTGGAAGAATAAATGCCTTTCTTACAGTGCTAATTTTGAATTCCAAGATGAAATCATTCTGTCATTTTCTGTTTTAATAAGGGGGCAGTACAGAGGAGTTCAGGCTCTGCTCTGTGATGTTGTACCCATGAGCATGTTTTAACCCAGTTGCTTCAGTTGACCGAAGTGTATAAACTGTCAACAGCATTAGCAGGGGTAATGGTGCTTCAGACCAGCATCTCAGCCAGGACGGAGGCTTGCACCCTCTATCTGACTAATGGTTAATACCAGGATCAGTCTGCTAGCCTAATAAGCCACAAGGCTGTTTTAAGTCTGCCTTGTGGCTTAAAACAAACCCAATTCATATCTTTAACAAAAGAGGTTTACATTGAATGATATTTTCAACTTTTTTTTATTCTGAAAAACGAATAAAGCTACTCAAAGTCCTGGCAAACATACACAATGTGTTATATGCACGTTTAAATGCATTAGTTCATGTCTGTTACTATACATACAAATTGTTATCAATCACAATTGTATGCTTTAAATCCAACACATCCAAAACCATAACATAAAACAAACCATACAATGCAGAAATAAATTTTAAACAGAGGTATCAAAGGAGAGTTTTGTTCACCAGTGATATACAGTAATGTTTTGCAATAAAGGTCTATTGCAATTACTTAAACTCAGAAGATCAAAATCAGTGATCTTAACTATCACTCATAACATCAAGTAATATAAAGTGCTCTAGATTCCATCTTATAACAAACAACACCCTGAGATTGCTTCTAAAACATTCACTCAACCTTGAAATGATTGCTTTAGGTGGAGTAAAGAGTACAAAAATAGAACAGCCTATCTGTATCGAATATATGATTTCCTTTCATTATTTGTATCCAATAAGATGAAAGTAAATCAGCATGTCTAAAAAAAAACACAATTGCAATAACCTGATTTCCAAATAACATACATCAATGATAATGTTTGTGCTTACATTATAGGAATTATGCTGCCATGGGCAACAGTAACACAAGATGACACACACTTTATAAATGAGAGTAGTTCATTCTTGTAGCAAATAAATCATGTATACCATTATAAAT